CCGAATAGACTACCCCAATTAGATATTAGATATCTATAAGTGTCTTCATAGTACGATGGTCTAAGAGGGTAGCTAAAGGTATGCTCTAGTGGGCGGCTACCCCCTCACTCCCTGGCCTTTTGGTTAAGACTAAGTTTTATGTTCACTCGGGATAGCGTGGAAGRGCCGAAATCTCTAACCGTAACGTAAGCCGATTCGACGCCTCAGCTTCATAGAATGTCTCGGGGGAATCGTCCCATCTTTTTAGTTTTTTTTATTTTCATTATTTTTTATGTATTCCGGGGGGTGCATCTTTTGCTGAAGTGAAAGTCCCGAGTTCGAGCCCGGCTTCTGTAATTTCTCTTTTTTTTTCGCTTGTTTATTGTTTCTTTTTCTTATTCCTTACTGTTTTCTTCTTTCTTTTTTTTCTTTTCTTCTTTTTTCTTTGCTGTTGTTGTTGTTGGTTTAGTTTCTTCTTCTTCTTTCTTCTTCTAGAGATTTCTCTTTTAAAATTAAACATATCAAGGACTCGCAAGGAATGCCTGCTACAAGTGGATGGTTACGGTTCGGTCACTGAACACGATGCGGTCACTGAACACGATGACATGGTGACGAGAGGCTTCATAGAACCTTTCGTCACAAAAATGATGCAAAATAGTACCACATTACGTTATTGGATTCAAACGTTTACTCCAAAAATACGCTAAATCTTGATGCAAAACAACTAACTAACCGCGAATTGTACGTGGTCGAGCCAGCCCGACGCATATGGTTCCGTTTACATATTTTATAATTCATTCATTCACGTGGATATCATCGAGACTGAAAAACTTAATACATAAATATTGCCTTTTATTAAAGCTACCTAGATAGTCTATATCAAAGCAAATTGAATATAAATACAGCAATTGTAGCATGATTGGTRGCAATAAAATCAAGACAGTTTTACAATCACAACAAACACAGCAGAAAGGTGGCCCTTTGTATCKCGTCCGTCGGAGTGATGTTTTCTATACACTCGAAAATCTATTGAATGTGAAAAATAAACTTTTAGTTGATCAAAYTGACTCCGTCTTCCACTGAGTCAACTCAGCTGTGGAGAGTGCAAACTACTTTATGACGTGGGCTAAAGAATTGGTAATCTCCGATGGCGTAGAAACTGAATCTGAAAAATTCACTTTCTAATCGACTTGTATCTTAAACATTCCGGCCGTTAKCAGGGAACTTTGCGTCTTTATCAAGCTAAAATCTACATAAAATACTGTCGCCAGTTGAATAAKGAATTAACATAMWRTTAACAAAKCATCRAGYGGGTCTTCATTTCAAAGCTTTCACTCCCCCTGATAGCAAAGCTATTATATGGTGAATTAGGGGGATAATCTCAGCTAATGATGATTTAGGCTCCGCCTTAAGGAGTACTTTATAACSCTGARTCTTGAAGATWRKAAGTCACTCGYGCTATTCCATCATGAGGGCTGGACTGTGTTTACTATTTCTGCTGGGAGTTTTCTCATCTCATGCAAAGTAAGCCAATAACTTTGTTTTTAAACTTTCCATGTGAGTTGATCATAATATATATATTTTTTCTTTTTTGCTACCTTAATTTGAGACTGCGATTAAAAATATGGATGATCAACAAAACACGACATATATGTTCTTTTAAAACATTTCAGTATAAAGTTAACAGTATTTTTTCCATTTTCTTTTACTGAAAGATAGTTATAACATTTTCATCCTTTATAAAAAAGGCAAAGTAAAATATTTAACAGAATTTTTTTTCCCGCGTCAATGAGCGTGCGCTTCCCTTTTCTAGGATTAGTATATTTTTGTTGCTCATTTATAAAAAAAAACATATTTGACTTTTCCAAKGTAGTTCATCTTTGATTATATATACTTGAATACGGATTTAATCGAACGTTATATCTCGTTGCACATTATTAAAAGTATATTCCACACCGTTTGTCAACAGCAGTTGTGCAAACTTTGCGCATTTAGCGACAACCTTGTCTCAATTGGGTCTTATTCGATGGAATTGCTTTTTTTATATTCATTCTTGAAGTTTACTCAGTGCCCGCTTTCTTATTGAGATGCGCGTACGTGCTCTTTCGGGAATTCTGACCACAAAATGTTGGATATTTTAAAGCAAATAATTTAATTTTTGTAGTATTGCCTTCATTTATATCACATGACAAACACTAATGTCACGTGAGTGATACTGTCCAATTGATTGACAACAGGGAACTGGTTTACAAAGTAACACCAAGTGACCAGAGTCAAGTCGGTTTTCTTGATAAACTGCTTAAAAGCGACGATGAAAGGGTAAGTTGCCATGGAAACGATGATGATAATGATTACCCGATAATGATGATGACAATGATGATTTATATTTTTCAGTTTGACTTTTGGTCTTATCCAACCAAAGCAGGGACTGAAGTCCTAATCCAAGTCAGTGATAATAATGCTAATCAACTTGAAGCCATGCTCGCGGGCGAAGGCATCTCGTTTTCGATTGGARTTCCTGATCTTGAGCCGTTATTAAAAGCAGAGAAAGCACAATCAAGATCGTCCGGGTTTGATACTCGTTACCATAGAGTTGGCGAGGTATTGAGCCACAGATAATCATAATTTCAACTTCTTTCATTAATTTATTAATTTCAATAATAATCAAAGTTCCTAATAATAATCAGTATGTGGAATGAAATTTTATATCGTCTTTGTTACGTGGCAATCCCGCGTTAAAAATATTCTTCTTATTTCAGATTCACTCAGAAATCAGAAAACTCGCCGCGGCACACAGCAGTGTTGCKTCGACTTTCAGCCTCGGAAAATCATACGAAGGAAGAGAACAACTAGCCATTAAGGTGAACAATTTCGCAATTTACCTCAATTCAYAGGATTCCTGTGTAGCTCTAGGACGTAAGAAGACTAAGAATTATAGAATATAGAACCTGAGGCCGAACGGGAGCTTGGGATGGTATGATATTTTTACATTTATCAATGTTTTCTGAGCAAAGAAATCACTTCAAGAATGGCACAAACTAAATGCTGAAAACTACTAGCCCTTCTTATACATCGAATTTCCCATTCACTTTTTGTTCTAAAACTGTTTTAGCCTGACAAGACTTACTAATTTACAATAAGCTTAAAGATATTATTTATTATTAATCAGGTAAGCTTGATTATTGCAGATTAAATCAGGATCCGGAAAGAAAGATCTCTTTTTCTTTAACTGTGGTATCCATGCTCGAGAGTGGATCAGTCCYGCTACGTGTATGTATATGATCAGAAAGGTAATATCAACAACAAAACTATATTTACATCATGATTATTTTGTTGTATATTTCGTAGGTTTCGTAGTTTTGTTGTTCTTTCAGTTGCCATCTGAATACAGCCATCCAACCGTTCATCCTTCTATGCAATACTTCAACTCTCCCTCCATTCATTTCTTTATTTCTCCGTCCATCAATTTATTAATGTTATTGATTATATTCTAGATGCTTGAGACACGGAACTCTAATTCCGATGTACAATTTATGCTGAATAAGTTCGAGTGGATCATTTTGCCAGTTTTGAATGTTGATGGCTACGAGTATACCCACACAAACGTAAGAATACAGGTTTTATATAAGCTGTTTTTCTTCTCTGCACCAGAAACGTCCACAGTGTATGGGACAATAATTTCGTTTGTTGTTGTTTCAGAGTCGTATGTGGCGAAGAACACGTAAACCTTACGGAAGACATTATGGCGCTGACCCGAACAGAAATTTCAACTATAGATTCGGAGGTAGATATAACTGGTATGCAATGCAGTATTGGTGGACAGTTACTAAGACACGAACGAACGAGCGAAATACGAAAGGCCAACGAACAATTGACGAAGTGTGTCGATGGACGTCGACGAACATGCCAACTGACCAATCAAACAAATGACAGAAAAATGGATGGGAGATTGAATGGATGAACGAATGAATGAATGAATGAATGGATAAACGCGATTATCAACAGGGACAGCGAAAACAATTAATATCAATTAATYATTTTAAAATAATTTAATAACTTATTAGTAATTATAATTAATACTGATAGGCACTGGCACATCAAACACTCCTGGCTCGGATATCTATCATGGACCATACGGGTTTTCAGAAGTGGAGACTTACAACGTCGCGAGGTATCTCTTCAATAGAAGACATGAACTGAAAGGTTATATCGACTTCCATGCTTACTCTCAGATGTGGATGAGTCCGTGGGGATACACCAGTGCTTATCCTCCACAATACGACAAGGTACCCTCTAGCTTACAAATAAATAAATAAAGTCTTTTCTTTNTCAGAAAAAATATGAATTTACTCTTACTCATTCTTTCAGTTCCTTTTGAAACGACGCTAGGGACAGCGCTAAAACATTGTTAGCGCAAACGGTTAACTTTCTAGGGTTGAGGGGCTGCTTTCCTCTGGCCTTTAGTTAGCGCGATAAGATAGTCGTCCTTATAAAATACTAGAATACACAGAGCAGACATCTATAATCGAAACGGATGCCAGATATCTAAGCAAAATTTACGTAGATTTGATTTGTTAATTGTAGCTCTTGTTTTACTTTTAGCAAAAGAAAGCAATGACAGCAGCAGTTAGGGCCCTAACAGCAGTTCATGGTACCAGATATACATACGGACCAGCAGCTATTACCATTTGTACGTAGTGATATCGATTAATTCTATATTTATCATCATCATCATCATCATCATCATCATCACCATCATCATTGTCATCTTAACCATCATCATCGTTATCATCATCATCATTATCATCATCATCATCATCATCAGCATCATCATCATCATCATCATCATTTTCATCATCATGCTCTCATATCATCAATTACATTTTTTTCAGATCCCACGACCGGTGACACGACAGACTGGACGTTCGGTGTACTGGGTGTCATCCACTCGTACTGTGTCGAACTGAGACCGAAGGGACATCCGGGATTTATCCTCCCACCCGACAAAATCATTCCCGTCGGACAAGAGACGTTTGCTGGCCTCAAAGCATTGACACGAAACATGGATTACTAATACTTTGTATTGGGATTAATTCATTAAAACTAGTAAAAATGAAATTGATTCGAAATGCAAGCAATCACTTAAGCCCTGTCCTCAAGCTCCCGCGGAAAGGCGGTTTTTAGCTTCTTAAAATCGAGGATTTGCGCGCATGAAGGCGGGAGGGAGACGAGGAAGGGATCTCTAAGAGCAGCTAAATRTCGTTAACATGATATTTCCCCGCTATTCCCAGGTGGTCGGAGAGCCGTGCCGTGACCACATATATTTTTTGTATGCTCATTTATCTACACTAATGTTAACAAGATGAAAATCATCAATATATCTATATATAATTCGACTTCAAGATGTTTTCCACCATGCCCCATGTTTAACCAYACTTATTACAAAGTTACTAATAATCGCTAACTATATTCACACTGCTGTCATCGATTTATTCCTTATAGCCTCATAAATAAGTTCAACGATTGAAATAGTCAACACCTGGAAAAGCATGCAGAAGACCGAAAGGTAACATGGGAAACATTAAAACTTTATAATCAAATTAAGAATAATTTCTCTACAAAAATCTCAATTCTAAGAGCGCTATTACCAACATAGTTGGCTGGTTGGTGATTTTACTAAAATATCACAACGAAAATATTCTCAAATAATTACACTAATACTTAAAATCTAATTGCGCCCTTAATAGCAATGTACAGCGGATTACGAAAAGATCAACCGCCCACAAATTATCAGTCAGCGGTATATGCCGTCGCCATCCGAAAATGTCTCGTTATTATCCACCAATCATCGCTGAATTGTCTCTCAATTCTTAAGCACAAACTCCAAGTATTCTCGCAGCATTCTTTGAAAAGCATATTTGAACTTTATGTAATAATTCAAAGCAAAGACGAAAGAGCTTTGATTCCGTGATAGGTCTCTTTTCCTACTGGTTCAATAAATGATGGTGGTAGTGTAAAACCATAAAGGTCCATTAAACCTGGTCGTAGTTCAACACCATATGAATGAGTTACCCCAAGAACTCCATAGGTCCAATCGGTTGCGTCGCCTGATGTGGGGTCTGGGTATGAATGTGAATTAATGTCAATCAGAGATCAAAAGTTGGAATTATTGACGCAGGCGCAAGCCTTGTTTTAGTTGCGCAACATTTTACCTTCAGGGAGAGGGAGGGGAATTGTTACTCAGGTTTCATAACATACTTTGTCACCAATGGTAAAGAAAGATAAAAACCTTGACTTACATATCATGATGGATGATGGCCCGTAACTGAACTCAGTACCATGAACGTGTTTGATGGCTTTYACAACTTTGTTCATTGCTAGTGCCTAAAGAAAAATGTACAGTCTCAGTTTTTGCTTCTCTTTCTTAACACTTACCCGTCCTATCCTGTCGTTTTTTTTGTCGATTTCCGTTTTGTTTTGTCTGGTATCGTAGTTTCGTTTTCTCTAGTTTCGTAGTTTCGTTTATCTCGTTTTCCGTTTCGTTTTCTCTCGGTTTGTAATTTCGTTTTCTCTCGTTTCTCGTTTCGTTTTGTCTCATTTCGCGTTTCGTTTTGTCTCGTTTCGCGTTTCGTTTTATCTCGTTTCGTAATTTCGTTTTATCTCGTTTTGTAGTTTAAAATACCTGTTTCTTGTAATTTGGAGGAAACTGWGGCTTGTAACCCCAAGGTGACATCCATAGTTGACCATAGGAATGAAAATCAACGTACGCTTTAAGTCTTTTACGTCTTTTATACAAATATCGAGCYACATTAGTGCTTTCTGGTTCTGARAATCCCCTGGGTCCRGGATAWATAGGACTRCATGGCTTGTTAGGCGCTGATCCAACACCTGGAAACAAGACAACCGCGATCTTACAACCAGCAACGACGCAAAGGTATCAACAGCAACAGCAACARCAATGGCAAAAACAACGACTTAGACAACAATTACAGTAACAACAACACATACACAATCACAAAACAAAACAGAATGCTAATTTCTTTTTTAAATTATTAGCAGAACTGTGCTAGCCGGATATGACTTGACAGCTGTCAATCATGGAGTCAGACAATGAATAAAGTGTTATCATTGCATACCTCCCCAGTTGTAGTTAAAGTTTCTGTTCAAGTCTATACCAATGCATCCRTCTTTACTTGGACTCTTGTTTTTCCTCCACATACGATCCTAATGGGGAATGGGATGGTGTAAATTTTGGTCTCGCGGAATTATAGAAATGGCGGCCGTAAATGAAGACCCTGGCATCATATGACATTCAATAAAGGTAAATACACTTTTTTTTCATTGTCCAATGAAAACGTGATTATATGACTTCTTAAAAAGGACGAAGCACCAGCACCTCCCTGACCAGCACCTTATATTATATAGATCAATGATGATGTTACTATTTTATCAGGGGGGAGCTGCATACCCTGTCTCGTGTGTATTGGTATCCATCCACGTTAATAACTGGTAAAATAATCCATTCAAGTTTCTCGACTAATCGCCTTACTGTTCTGTCTGTGSTGTAATCATTGACGAGCTGAATGCAAAGATTATAAAGAATGGTTAACATGCTTGAAGCTTTCTCTGAGTCCTCGTGACAGATCGTCTGTTCTCCTACGTATCCGTCCAGACATCCATTAATTTTCTCTTTCATTTATAATAAGGGCCTTTTAACACTATGACGACATAAACAAAAGTAGAAGGCGTTTCACACTAAGATAAGCTCGAACATATGCTTGTGTTACGCCTGTTCATAAGCAGAGTCATAAGGAAATGGAAATGTTTTTCTTTTTTTCTTTTCTGCTTTTCTTCGTTTGACACTACATTTCCATTCTTCTGCCATACCGTTTTGTGAAATTGCCTTTGATCATCCATCTATCCTTCCATTCACATTTTTCATCCATTCGCCAATTTCTCATCCATCCATTTAACTATACGTCATTGAAGTATTTAGGGGGGAGGGGAAGGGGCAGGGTTGGCCCTTCGTCCATCCATACCTACCTTTCTTATAATATACATGCAGGTCGAGATACTTATCCATTCTCTACTGTGAATACCACAGTTTAAGAATATAATTGGCTTATGTTTGTTTGCTGTTCTATTTGCACTGATCTGAAAACAAGAAAYGAAATTTAAAATCTTGCCTACAAATCAATTCTTGTCAGGGTAGTGTCCCATAGTGCATTTCGCCGAATATCTCATGACGTCATTAGGGAAAGGACCATTATTCTTACTCTTATTAAAAACATGTTTCGTCCTTCGTACGTCTTCCCAATGCTCTTGACATGCGCAATACTGTTGTTGATTCTGGTCAGTCGACGCATTTCAGCAACAATCTGTTCAATGAAAAAATCACTTTTAGTTGAAACAAAGCTACTTTCCTAATTTTCATTCATCAATTTTCTCATTTATCCATTTTTGCATTCATCCCATACATTCATTTACTTACCCGAGGATATGAATGRAAGGAACTGTCAAAAGAGTTTCCACCACGAAGTCTAGTTTGAGGTCGCTCCATGTTCACAAGCCGTTGTACGTTACGAATGCGCACTTCATATTTCATTCTGTTTTTCTTAAGAAGTCGTTCGAAAGACCGACACGATGCTCTTGGTACGTGGATGTCAACCGGTCGGGATWCAGTCGAAGGGAACGACCAGAAATCTAACTGAAATGGAATATGAATCTTTGTCATTTCGACTCAAAAGTCTTTCAAGACAGCAGGCTGGTTTACCGACGAAATAAACCATAGCTTTTCTCATGAAATCCGSCAATCAGCGCGCGTGTTAGAATTGAGCTATAATATAAATGCAGATAGCTGGCAATTTGGTATAGCGGCATTCCCTATGTGATATTCCCCAGACTGACAAAAAAAAGACTTACTTGATATTTGTTGTCGTCATTAAGAAGCTCGTTTAAAAGGTTCAAAGCTGGTTTGCTTCCTGGTGTAACACGAAGTAGTCGATCCCTATAAAACAATACAAAGCCATAATAGGAAAAGAAAGAAAGGGAAAAACAAGACGAGTGTGAAGAAAAAAACTAAAAGAAAGAAAGGATGAATGGGCAACCAAGAAAAGAAGAAGGAAGTGGAAGAAAGAATAGAGGGAGAGAAGGAAATGGGAAAGAAAAAAGGACAGAAAAAGGAAGGAAGGGAAGGAAAAACGGAATGAAAGAGGGGRAGAGGAATGAAAGAAATTAAGCCTTAGAAAGAAATGTAGTGGGTTACATAAGAAAATATGGTCGGCATGATAAAGTCAGAAAAGTAATTACCCCAGAGGCTAAGCCATTGGGCATGCATCATACACGTAGTAAGCGTTATGCTGTGCCAAACATTTAATATCCATTAACATTCGTGTCTACGGGCGRATTTATCTGGAACTTAGTAGCTCCTACGGTAATYATTTAACTCTCGTACCAGTTGTGATTAATAGGATCCCCTCTGTGATAAAAGCGGTATCGTTTCCTTATAAAAACAGCTTTTTCCAAAAAAGATACCTTAAAACGATTATCGAAAAGAGGATTTCTTTAATCATTAGGCAATTGTCACGGCAAAATGTTAATATGCAACTTAAACAAGAGGCTTTTGTTACCCGAAGTTAAATAAACAAAACTAAAATCACTCCYGAAAAGTTCATTGTGGTTTTAAGAGATACTCAAAGTATTACGTACAGAGTAAATACATTGTTTGGTGAAACTGCTAAACAGAACCTGCAGGTTCAARAGTATTTGAGAATAATTCAGCAAAAACTAACAACGCGTAGCTATTCAGTTATGGTTTTTTACGATATGTCGGTCATGTTTACCAGTCTTGAATTGATAACTAACCCGTGGTAGGACTTTCGTCTTCCCAAACACGTCGGCGAYGTCCAAAGGACGACAAATATGAAAATAAAGGCAACTCGAAGAACACCAGCCATTGCAGTAGGTAAGCACGCACAACGAGAGCGAATAGGATGGCAGTTGTTTGACAAATTCAAAGACAGAATACAGATCGTAGGGTAGTCGTGATATAGACAGGACTATGGTCTGGAGTGGGTATGATGACGTAACGGAAATCACATAGTTGACCTGGAGTTAATTCCGATTCTCTGGTGTCGGATTGCAAAGAGTTTCCGATGRAACTTGTTGGAGGGAGGAGCTTTTGCAACCGTGCGCCCTCAACGCAAGTGTACGGTAGTTAATTGTGACCAACTGTTTGTGGTTACTCTCGTTATAGACGGAGAATCACTATGCTACATAAGTAAGTCTGCGCGTAACAGTTTGCGTGTAAGTTTGGAAYATTTTTCTTCGGGAGCGAATAGGAACGCCTGGCTTAGAGTTACAAAGCGCAGAATAAGACTTGAACTTCATGGGTTAATAAAAACTAAGTATAATTTTCCTCTCGCGTTTAAAGGGACATGTTCCACCAGCATTCCTTTCGAGTTTTTGCTCATGTTCGAAAATAAAAATACATCGTTATATGACCAAAAACTTACTCTTTATTATCCCTTTATACTATATGAATGGAGATACTGTAAGATTCGACCTTTAAACTGATGGATGGAAACGGAGTTAGTAGATGGAAACGGAWTGTGAATAGATATTCGAAGTCAACTCATTTTCCATWTATGAAAAATCTAAAACACGACCGCMTTGAATGCTGGTGGACCATGTCCTTTTAAGTGTTTCAAAATAAAATCAATAAGCAACGAATCAATTTTTAATAATATTGCATAATCATAAGGTTTTTTCACCATTAATAACAAATTTCACAGCAATGTCTATCCATTATTAGCAAATACTTATCCTACAAAGTACAGTGATATATTATTTATAGTGTTTGCTCCGCTTTAAATCTTTTTTCCATTATATTTACATCTTAAATATCTTTAATAAATAATAGATAATATATATGTAATCGTAATTCATTATTAAGAAATTATTATTCGAGCTATTATTATTATTATTCGCTTGCGAATGTAATTAATTTTTCTTTAATTTTTTCTTTCTTTTTTCTTTTGTAGATGAACATACTTTTTTGAACAATATATTTATTGATTTACTAATTGTTGGATGACTGAAATTTATACTATTTGTTATTAAATAATGAATTGTTGTCTTCCATAACGCGAAAAGGTAGTTTTTGTTGCCTGATCAATCAATTATTGTTGATGATATCACATGGACGCCATTTTCATTCCACTCACGTGATCTTGAGGACCAATAAGATTTGAAAGTGTCAATCACGTGATCCAAACGACCAATGAGATACATTCAGGAGTGGTCAGATGGGAAACAAATGACATTCTAATAMAATTTCATACGATTTCTCTTGTCATTCGAGCGATTCTCATATCTGTGTGTATGTTCATTTTCATTGAAAAGTTTCTCCATTCTTCGCACAATAAACATTTTGCATMTAATGASACKAATGTTAAACTTGTGTTGCATCCATTTGAGCGCTAATTTCTTGAAGCTCGAGCGAGGTCGAGACTTGTTCAATCTCTTCCGAGGAGAGCTTTCTATCGTCCTTCTTTTTCTTCGCCTTTTTGTCGTTCATAATCACTTTTGTCTTTTTAAGTGGAATTCTAACGTACAAATCATCGTCTTCGTTTGATTGTTCTCTCTTTAAAACAGCTTTAATGGGGGATGACTTGTTTTTATTTCGYTTTTTCTTTTTGAGTTTTTTGTCCTCGTGAAACCGCACATGTAGTTGTTGTACTTGAATGGCGTTTTTGTATTTGTCGTTGTTGTGTTTGTCTAATGTGATTGTTTTCTTCATCATGGTGTCGAGAGATAGTTGATTCTCGTCTTCTCTTCTTCTACGCTTCCTCCTGAAAACAAGATGCACTTTTYCAATCACCTCTGTTTGCATTATGGCAATAAACTACATGCAATTTAGCAAAAACACAAATAAAAACGGGAAACCAAAACAATATGACCTGTTATTGATTGGTCCCTCTTGGGGGTGAAATTTCAGCACTGTCACGCCCATCATCTCACAATACAGGTCCCTTTAAGGAGTCATTTTCAGAATTTCCTACCCGACCCCCCGCCCTTTTTATGAGGGAGATCCCCCCTAGGAATCCATGATACTTGCCTTAACAGCAGAACAACAAGAAGTACAATGGAAACTAGTATCACAGTAGGTACGACAAGAGCAGGAATCACTGCTTTAAGATTTACACCCTGCCGTCTTCTAGCCTTGGTTTTAATAGCTTTACCTTTCACCGCTGCTGTAAAAAATAGAAATAATGTTCAATGGCAACAATAAGGGAATTTAAAGAAGAAATGGACAGGAAAAAAGGACGCCASGAGGAAAAGTATACAAGAAAAASATTGTCTTACTACAAAATCTACAATGTTGTGGACATTTGTCAAACATCTTGGGTCTGTTGTTCTGGCATTCGCCTGCTCTTCGCCATTTTTCACATTGGACCTTGATCTCTGTCTTTTCGAAATCTTCACATTCTAAGAGAGAAACAAAAATAAACTTTCTAGTAATGTAACACATGAAATCATAACTATTACACTTAAGTCAGTGAATGTGTATCAAGGCTTATTCTGATTGTGTGGAGTAAGCAGAGAGAGACGAGACGAGACGAGATGAGGAAGAAGTAGTGACAGAAGTAGTGAGGGAATCGTAACGGAAGCGTAACGGAAGCGTAACGGAAGTGTAACAAAACGGTTCAATTTGATTCCCTGCTTCTCTCATCACTTCTTTCGCGATCTTTCTAATAAATAAAAATAAACTCTTTTATTTTGAGATGGTAGCACGCAATAGTCTCTAGACTAGTAAACTTGAGGCTCTCTATATATCCACTCACACTCACTATCTCAACATTCATTATTTTACCACACGACACTCCTCACAGCTAGTTTTTGAMTGAGGGAGGAAAACCAGCGGACCTGGAGAAAAACCCTCGGAGCAAGGAAGAAAACCAGCCTACAAACTCAAATCACATATAGTCCCGGACCGGGAATCGAACCAGGACCACAGCGGTGATAGATCGGCGTTTTAACCGCTCGGTCATCCTTGCTGCCCCGCTTTGCAGCTTCCGTCTCTGAGGTCTCGTTCTGGCAAGCAGTCAATCGAGCATTAAGAGTGCTTTCCCTCCGTTTTTATAGCAAAAACACAAAACGATTATAGGTTTTTGAATGCATTTATAATCAAAAGATTAAGTCATGCACTCATTTCATATGTACCTCGACATTGAGTGTTGGTCCAGGCCCCCTCTAATCCAAGTGTCGAGAGCCCAGTCTTACATCGTATGCATGCCAATTGACCTTCGCTTTCTTGGTACGTATTTACTGGACATCTTTCACAGCTGTCTGTAGTTTGATTATGATAGTGACCAATAGGGCAATTTACTGAAACAGTCAAATATAAATAATTTATAAAAGTACATGTGATATGAATACTTACAGTTTTACTCCGAAAGCTACGGTAAACCGATCCAAAGTAAATCTCGATCGTAATTGCAAACTATTGCTGGTTCTTGAAGTGCTACTTGCATGAAAATGCCCTTATTCCAAAACTTCAAGCAATACAAATATATGTCTCATTAATTAAAAACAATTGGGGAAAATATTTGTTTTGGGATTATCCCACATCAGAGAAATTTTGATTCAAAAAGATGGAAGAACAAAAGGTTGGAGTAAATGACATCATCTACTCCAACATTTGTTCCCCAAATTATTAAGGATTTGTATCAATATCTTATTGAAATCTGTTGCTTCATAATTATGGATAGGTGTTATTGATTTCCAAGTCTTTTCTAATGTTTCGCATTTTTTATCCAAGTAGCCCTTTCAACATTTCCATGAGATTCACAAGATGATTCAACATTTCCATGAGATTCACAAGATGAAAGACCGATGGCCATGTTGTTGCACGAGTAAAAGAAGCTCAGGAGAACGAGAAGCCTTCAAAAGACGACTAACATGGCTGATGCAATGTCAAACCAACAATTCATTTGATTTTGGATTTTTCTGAGATGTCAAAAACAACCAATCACAACCATGCTTGTTGGACATGATTGACAGCACAGAAAACTAACCCAAAAGAGTTCTACTAACGGTTGTAATAGATAAATTTCCTACTTCTAACCTGTGTCTTATCTATCAAACAAACTYACCGCATTGGTCTTCTTTGTATATTTGTCCAACCCCACATATTCCTCGAATCTCGTTAATAGTTAGTCCCTTTTGCGCGTCAAATCTCAAGGCATAACCTTCTATAATCATCCCTGCATCGCTAATATTGATGCCATCACTAATAACCGCTTTAATTTCGTGTCTTGTTTGGTTTATCGCGTCTTTTGTWACTGCACTGCTCAAAAATACACGAATCTCGAACTTTGCTTTCATCTCTTTGTTGTACACCGTTCGTATGAAACGTCTTTGGGCTCTTGTTGTACAGGAAAGTGAGATTTCTCCAAGATTACAGGTACCTATTGGAAATATAATATTTTAGTCATTTGTATGAGMTKTGGAATGATTTCTATGGTTACTTGAAGTCCCATACGTAYGTCYGAGAACTTTTGCCGCGATTTTCTTAAGTACGAAAATATAATCCGCCATCTTTGATTTTGAACCAATCAGAAAGAAAGCATTAACAGGAAGTCAGATGATTGCAAAGCTTCTCAGACACACTTAAACCTTTAAGTCMGTTTTATTCATTCTAGTCATTTACTTTTCTTCCCACACTCATCGTTAACCTAGAAGTTTATTTMCATTTGATTGTCCATGTTTCTAAGTGTCATGGTTTTTGTCATCRCCATCACAATACAYGTATTCATCGTTGTCATAGAGCGAATTTCGTATGAGTGGGAAACGGACGGTACTGTACTGTGACCGTAATCGTACTGTAACCAAATTCTAGTGCCCCATTGGTTCACCAAAATTGTGCAGGCCAGGT